TAATTTGTGGGGTCTAGAATGTATATTTCGAGGTGTTACAAACAGAATGACAAACCTAATGTACCCTCCACACTATAGTGGAGGGTCTACAAATGTCCACCACCATATCTAACTTCTAGAAATCAACAGTGGCCTCCATATCAAATTCAATATCAATTATGTTAATTTAAATTTTCTGGATTCCTATTTTATCCGTTCCTCCAAATTCAAATTGTACCAAATTTAGTACCGTTTAGTACTTTACGTATTCATGAGTACACACTTCCAAAACTACACCCCTTACAAGGACTTTACTCCTCAACTTTAATTCCGATTCTAAATTTCAAGTTTTCAGCTCTAACTGTTCACATGATATGAAATCGTACCAAATGTAGTGCATTTTAGTACTTTTCGTACACTTATAGTGCGAATTTGCGAAAACTCCTTTGTACATCCATAATACACTCCATCAGTGACCCTCATTTCAAATTTAAGAGTTTTAGCTTTACTGGTTTGTCAAAGACGAAGCGTATCACATCTACATCATTTAGTACTTTCGTACACGTATAGTACGAATTTCACAAAAACTCAACCTTATCTGACACGTTCGGACAAAGAGGGATCCTCACCGAAAATTTCATGATTCGTCTGGTCATTGATAAATCCTTAAGTCAGTCAGTCAATTATGTTACTCTTTTATTGATATAGATATTGACAGGTAAATCCACGGCTTGATTTAAAACCCCAGAGCCTTTTTATACTCCACAAAAAACCTCAGCCGCCCCCTGGTCTCTCCAAAAAAAAAACCTCTTCCTAATTCCCAAATTCACTTTTGTTTTCACTCATTGCCATGTAAAAAACAAAAACCCTCTGGCCCTCTACAAAAACATTCCCCAATTTCACTTCATAATGGCCCATTAAAAAAAAACGTTGTTAATGGAATTATGTAATTTGCCAAATAATTGTTTTAACAAGTTGTAGTTAATTAACAGATAGGGTGTGACCCGGTGGAATGGTGAAAGTTTACATTAATTCACAATTTGTAGAATTAAAAGCTAGCTGACAATCATTGGGCTAATTCGTTTTCATATCATAAACCTCTCTTAGTAAGGGTATTTAAATGTACAAAAAATAAAGCATACTTTTAGGATGATACTAAAAAATGATTGGACTTAAATTGACGTTGATGTTATAACATAGGCTTTAAATAAATCAAATGGACATGTAAACTATAAATTATTTTGAGACTAAATACGGGTCTTGAAGACAGCTAATTGGGACTTTAGACGAATGCTTTACGGCAGACCAAGGGGGAAATAAGCATATTTTTTTTATCAAAACTTGTTGAGTTTCCTGAATGAAAAAAATTGTATGGCATGTTTTTGTCTGATGATTCGAAAGTGTACTCCAAAGAAAAGCACCGATTTCTCTCCTTTTTCAAATTTTTAATTAATTTTTTATTTAGAAAATACACTTAGCGTTTGTATTTTTCCTTCCTTTACTAACGTATTGTTATGCAGAAAAAGGCCGTTAAATTTATGTCTGATAAACTATGCGGAACACAGAGTTTAAAGCTAAAAATTATAATTTAAAAACGGACACATATTTTTTTTAAAAAATTCCAGTTCTGCAAACTTATTCTTTTCAATCAAACTTGCGCAAAATACCCTTTAAAAATATAAGTTTAACATTTGAAAAATGTTTTTTTGTCGCGTGTTCGAATGCAAAACTGGTTCCGATTATATATTTTTTTATTTTAATTTTTTTTGCCAGAAATTATTTAAATCGTCATAAATTGCCCCTTAAAATTTTTTTTGTAAAAATAAAATTAGATTCAAACATGAGTTAGGTTATCATATTTTAAATAATTTATATTTATTAATATATTTTAGTAATTTTATATAGAAGATTTTTTTCAATAATTCTTCCTACTATTTCTCAAGGCGTAGATTTAAAAAAATATATATTTTTTTCTACAATTTCCCAAGGCGTAGATTTTAAAAAAAATATTTTTTCTACAATTTCCATAGGCGTGGATTTTTTAAAAAATATTTTTTTCTGCAATTACCCAAGGCGTGGATTTTTTAAAAATATTTTTTCTATATTTTCCAAATCGTGAATTTTTTAAAAATGTTTATTCTATATTTTTTAAAGCATGGATTTCTTAAAAATATTTATTTTTAAAATTTGCCAAAGCGTGGATTTTTAAAAAATATTTATTTTTAAAATTTCCCAAGGCGTGGATTTTTTAAAAATATTTTTTCTATATTTTCCAAGGTGTGGATTTTTTAAAAATATTTTTTCTATATTTTCCAAGGTGTGGATTTTTTAAAAATATGTTTCTTCTATATTTTCCAAAGCATGAATTTCTTAAAAAAATGTATTTCTCCTATATTTTCCTAAGCCTGGATTTCTTAAAAATATATTTTTTATATATTCCAAAGCATGGATTTTTTAAAAATATTTATTTCTAAAATTTCCCAAGGCGTGGATTTCTTAAAAATATATTTTAACTATTTTTTCTACAATTTCCCAAGGCGTGGATTTCTTAAAAATATATTTTAACTATTTTTTCTACAATTTCCCAAGGCGTGGATTTTTTAAAAATATTTATTTCTAAAATTTCCATAGGTGTGGATATTTAAAAAATATTTTTTTACAATTTCCATAGGCGTGGATTTTTTATAAATATTTATTTCTAAAATTTCCATAGGTGTGGATATTTAAAAAATATTTTTTTACAATTTCCATAGGCGTGGATTTTTTATAAATATTTATTTCTAAAATTGCCCAAAGTGTGGATTTCTTAAAAATATATTTTAACTTTTTTTTTCTACAATTTTCATAGGCGTGGATTTTTTAAAAACTATTTTTTCTATATTTTTCGAAGCGTGGATTTTTTTAAAAAATATTTTTTTCTACAATTTCCATAGACGTGGATTTTTAAAAAACTATTTATTTCTAAAATTTCCCAAGGCGTGGATTCCTTAAAAATATATTTGAACTATTTTTTCTAAAATTTCCCAAGGCGTGGATTTCTTAAAAATATATTTTAACTATTTTTTCTAAAATTTCCCAAGGCGTGGATTTTTTACAAATATTTTTTCTAAAATTACCAAGGGCTTGGATTTCTTATATATATATATTTTAACTATTTTTTCTACAATTTCCCAAGGCTTGGATTTTTTAAAAATATATTTTATGTTCAGCTTGTGTTAAGCCATTAAAAAAATATTTTTAAAAAATCCACGCTTATGTTAAAAAAATATTTTTAAAAAATCCACGTTTATGTTAGGTCATTTAAAAAAATATTTTTAAAAAATCCGCGTTTATGTTAGGCCATTAAAAAAATATTTTTAAAAAATCCACGTTTATGTTAGGTCATTGAAAAAATATTTTTAAAAAATCCACGTTTATGTTATTTTTGAAAAAATATTTTTAAAAAATCCACGTTTATGTTATTTTTGAAAAAATATTTTTAAAAAATCCACGTTTATGTTAGGCCATTTAAAAAAAATATTTTTAAAAAATCCACGTTTATGTTATTTTTGAAAAAATATTTTTAAAAAATCCACGTTTATGTTATTTTTGAAAAAATATTTTTAAAAAATCCACGTTTATGTTAGGCCATTTAAAAAAAATATTTTTAAAAAATCCACGTTTATGTTAGGCCATTTAAAAAAAATATTTTTAAAAAATCCACGTTTATGTTAGACCATTTAAAAAAATATTTTTAAAAAATCCACGTTTATGTTAGGCCATTGAAAAAATATTTTTAAAAAATCCACGTTTATGTTAGGCCATTGAAAAAATATTTTTAAAAAATCCACGTTTATGTTAGGCCATTGAAAAAATATTTTTAAAAAATCCACGTTTATGTTAGGCCATTGAAAAAATATTTTTAAAAAATCCACGTTTATGTTAGGCCATTGAAAAAATATTTTTAAAAAATCCACGTTTATGTTAGGTCATTTAAAAAAATATTTTTAAAAAATCCACGTTTATGTTAGGTCATTTAAAAAAATATTTTTAAAAAATTCAAGTTTATGTTAGGATATTTAAAAAAAATATTTTTAAAAAATTCAAGTTTATGTTAGGATATTTAAAAAAATATTTTTAAAAAATCCACGTTTATGTTAGGCCATTGAAAAAATAATTTTAAAAATTCCACGTTTATGTTAAGCCATTTAAAAAAATATTTTTAAAAAATCCACGTTTATGTTAGGCCATTTAAAAAAATATTTTTAAAAAATCCACGTTTATGTTAGGCCATTGAAAAAATATTTTTAAAAAATCCACGTTTATGTTAGGCCATTTAAAAAATATTTTTAAAAAATCCACGTTTATGTTAGGCCATTTAAAAAAATATTTTTAAAAAATCAACGTTTATGTTAGGCCATTTAAAAAATATTTTTAAAAAATCCACATTCATGTTAGGCCATTGAAAAAGTATTTTTAAAAAATCCACGTTTATTTTCTTTAAAAATATTTTTTTCTACAATTTCCAAAGGCGTGGATTTAAAAAAAAATATTTTTTCTACAATTTCACAAGGCGTGGATTTAAAAAAAATATATTTTTTTCTACAATTTTACAAGGCGTGGATTTAAAAAATATTTTTTTTCTACAATTTCCCAAGGCGTGGATTTAAAAAAATATTTTTTTTTCTACAATTTCCTAAGGCGTGGATTTAAAAAAATAATTTTTTTCTACAATTTCCCAAGGCGTGAATTTTTTAAATTATTCATAAATATTATTATTTTTCAAAATATTTTCTCCACAATTTTTTGAAATATTTAAAAATATATTTTCAATATTTTCTCATATTTTTGGATTATATTTATTATTTTTCACAATATTTATATTCTCAAAATGCCACCTGTAATACTGAAAATATTTTTCTCCGCACTGTAGTATTGAAAACTAATTATAGATTTGTTGTTTATCTTCACAAAAACTATGCCATTACGTTAATGACCGTTGTTTTTTTTTTTCTCTCTTTCCCCCTCCCACACACACACAGATGCGGTGAGCGCAATGATGAGTCGCGCATTGTTGGCGGCACAACAACGGGAGTCAGTGAATACCCATGGATGGCACGTCTGAGCTATTTTAATCGCTTCTATTGTGGCGGCACACTGATCAACGATCGCTATGTGCTGACAGCGGCCCACTGTGTCAAGGGCTTTATGTGGTTCATGATCAAGGTCACATTTGGAGAGCACGATCGTTGCAACGACAAAGAGCGGCCGGAGACTCGCTTTGTGTTGAGGGCGTTTACACAGAAATTTAGTTTTTCGAATTTCGACAATGATATAGCCCTGCTGCGTTTGAATGATCGGGTACCGATTACCAGTTTTATTCGCCCCATCTGCCTGCCAAGACCCGAGGAACGTAATGAGTTATTTGTGGGTACCAAAGGCATTGCCACCGGTTGGGGTACTCTGAAGGAGGATGGCAAACCGTCGTGTCTGCTGCAGGAAGTTGAGGTACCCGTCTTGGACAACGAAAGCTGTGTCGCCCAGACGAATTATACCTCGAAAATGATTACGAAAAATATGATGTGTGCCGGTTATCCGGGTACGGGAGAACGTGACAGTTGTCAGGGTGATTCTGGTGGCCCCCTGGTACGTTTGCGTCCCGACGATAAACGTTACGAACAAATCGGCATTGTTTCGTGGGGTAATGGTTGTGCCCGACCCGATTATCCTGGGGTCTATACCAGGGTTACCAAATACTTGGATTGGATTAAGGAGAATTCACGAGATGGTTGTTTTTGTGATGAACATTTTTGAGAGAGAGTGAGAGAATGGTATAAGGATTTCAATGGGTTAGTTAAGGAATAAATGAAAAGAATATATTTTTAAGAAAAATTTCAATATTTTAAAAATTGAGAAGAAAATTGCACTATTTTGCCGTGTTTTATATATACGTGGATCTATAAAAAAATATTTATGATCGATATAATATTTTATTTTGTAATATTTTTGATACATACTAAGATATATGAAATAAAAATAAAGAATTGAAAAATTTATTTTAGAATTTTATTGGAATCATTTAGGTGAAGGTAAGTATTCTAAGAGAGAGAGCAGGCCTAAAAAAAATGCAACGAGAATTTAGAGAAAGAGGGACCACTAAAGAAGGAAGTAAGAAAGACCACCAATAAAAGCGTCATCGATGGTGAGTTTTCAAAGGACTAAGAATTTTTCGAGACTTTTTCAAATGCACAATTTAAAAATATTAAAAGTTTTGAAAACATTTAGGGGATTTTAATATTTTAAATTTTTTTCTCTTAATTTTTTTTTTAATATTTGTAGACCTCCAAGATTAATGGAAGCTTTTAATGAAAGCCTCAATTTTAAAAATTCATAAAAATTATCAAAAAATATTTTTTTCTTAAAAACAATTTAAATTTTTTATTTAATTCTTAAAACTATTTTTATAAAGATTTCATAAGATTTTTTTTAAAAAAAAAAATAATATATAGAAATATTTAAAAAAGAATATTATTTCATTTTTCCGAAATATTGGAAATTTTTATTAAAAAAAATATTTTTGAAAATAAAATTCTATTCAAAAATTCTTTAAATAAAATCCACAATTTATAATTTAAAAAATTCATAAAAACTATCAAAAAATATTTTTTTTCTTAAAAACAATTTTAATTTGTTATCTAATTCTTAAAACTATTTTTATGACGATTTCATAAGATTTCTTAAAAAAATTATAGAAATATTTAAAAAAAAAATATTTCATTTTTCCGAAATATTGGGATGTTTTATTAAAAAAATGTTTTTTTGAAAATTAAATTCTATTCAAAAATTCTTTAAATAAAATCCACAATTTATAAAAATTCGTGGTAGATGTATATCCTCAGCCAAAATCCATTTATCTACATATACCGGGTGAGATGAAGAAAAAAACTGCAACAAAGTCAAACCCCATAATTTTTAAATTTTTTTTTTTTTGATTTTATTGAATGAAAGCAAAAATGTCGGAAATAGCCCCAAATTTAAAATAAGTTTAGATTTGTTCGAATTGGTCACCTTTGGCACGAATTATGGCCTTCAAACGGCCAATGAAACTGCCACACGCTACCCAAATGTTACTCAGCGGCATTTTGGCCCATTCCCGGCGAAGCACTTGCTTGAGGTGATCGACACTTTGGTATTTTTTTTGTGCCAACCTTGCTTTCCAAAATACTCAAGACACAATAGTCCAACGGGGATTGGTATACGGAGATTTTGGTGGCAATTGTGCGCTGGAAATGAGGCGAGGAACCTCATTTTGTAACCATTCTTGGGTGGCGCGTGCTGAATGCAATGGTGCTGAGTCCCGTTGGAATGTCCAAGGTCTACGGCCAAAATGTTTGCGTGCCCAAGGCTTTAATACACCCTCCAGAATATTTTCGCGATAATATTCAGCATTTATTTTGATGCCACGGTCGATTAATACGAGTGGAGAGCAATTATCAGCTGTTATAGCGCCCCACACCATCAAATTTCCATTTAATTTCGAAAATACTCCAGACACAATAGTCCAATGGATTGGTATCCGGTGATTTTGGTCGCCATTGTGCGCTGGAAATGCGGCGACGAACCTCATTTTGTAACCATGGTGCTGAGTCCCGTTGGAATGTCCAAGGTCTGCGGCCAAATCGGGTTTGAGTGTCCAAGGCTTTAATACACCCTCCAGAATATTTTCGCGATAATATTCGGCATTTATTCTGATGCCACGGTCGATTAATACGAGTGGAGGGCTACAATTGGCTGTTATGGCGGCCCACACCATTTCCATGGCCGGCGCTTGAGTTTTGGTGGCCAACCGAAGGTGCACATTTTCAGTTGACGGCCCACACCATCACCATGGCCGGCGCTTGAGTTCTGGTGGCCAACCGAAGGTGCTCATTTTCAGCTGACCTCTTTGGCAAGTAAACACGATTATTTTATTTATTTACAAACTGCTGAACAACGAATATTTTCTCATCGGAGAAAACCAAATTTGGCACTTCACCACTTTCGGCCAAGCGAAGCAACTCTTTAGCTCTTTTGAGTCTATTGTCGTTCTGTTGCGGTGTAAGTTCTTGCACTTTTTGGAACTTCAATGGCTCTACCCCGAGGAGCTCATTTTTCAATATTTGTCGAATAAAATATTGCAATATGTTCAGCTCAAGCGCCATTTTTCGGCCACTGCTGATGTTGCGGTTTTCTTCCGTCCATTTCGTTGACGTCGTCGGGCTACGCTACCAGTATTCCGGTAACGAGCGATGATACGAGACACAATAGATTTATTCACCTTTAAATGCTGGAGTGCTCTAACGATAGCCACTTGTGGTTTTCCAGCCAAATATAAAAAATCACCCTATCACGCTTGAACTCCATCACGAATAACTTTTTTTCTGAAAAATTCTCACCAAAATGTAAAAAAATATAATGAGCTGTCACTGAAATAATTTTAACAGCTGTCGGACTTAGAGTGGCTTAGAAGACTGAAGTTGGTTGCAGTTCCTTCATCTCACCCGGTATATGGGATCTATATCTAAATTTGAACCGATTTTCAGCAATTTCAATGGGGTTCGTCCTTGGGCTAGATAAATATTGATTGGAAAATTCCATCTCAATCGGATAATATATGCGATCTGCATTTTGTTCACAAAAATACATGGGCAGACGGACGGATAGGCGGACTGAAATACATAAATCGACTCAGAAAGTGATTCTATGAATATGCTGCAAAGTAAATATGGGCCTGTCTGGCTTCCTTCTCCATGCCACAAATAAATGCACAAAGCCATAATACCCTTATCACTTTCTGGGGTAGGCCATAAAAACGAAATGATGAAGAAAGTTGGATGTGAATTTTCTTCTCCCCCGGGGTCAATGGCCTTTGAGGGTGAATATTGTCAGGTACAATGACCTTTCACAATACTTCGAATGGACTTTTTAGAATACTTGTTTTTTTTTTTCAAGGACCCAACAGACTCTCCACCACACCTCCTTAGAACCCTTATCATAACCTTGGATTTTTATTATACACAACCATCAGGGTATTATGTATTTGTGCATTTGTTTGTAACAGGCAAAAGGAAACGATATGGTCCCATAGTTTCTTTTGATGATCTGCATAGAATCACATTCTCAGTCGATTTATGCATGTCCGTCCGTCTGTCCATGTATTTTTGCAAACAAAGTACAGTTCGCATTTATTGCCCTATCCAGATGAAATTTTGCACAAATCATTTGTTTGGCCCAAGGACGAACCCTATTGAAATTGGAGATAATCGGTCAAAATTTAGATATAGCTTCCATATATATATCTTCGTCCGATTTACCTTTTATTGTGCACCAAACGTGTAATATCAGCCAGAATTGTGTGGAATTTTGCACATACAACCAAATTCGGCGTGAAAATAAGTATGCCAAATTTGATCGAAATCGATTCTGATATAGCTATAGCTCCCGTACATATTGTTCATCCGATTTTTTTTTTTATTTTTGACCTCCGCAGCCGTAATATGCACTCTGTAACAACACAGTATTTGGGGAAATATATCAAATACAGCTCAGAAATACATTTGCTAAATTTTATCGAGATCGGTCCAAATCTGAATATAGCTCCCATATATAACTTCGTCCGATTTACCTTTGATTGTGCACCAAACGTCTAATATTTGTCCAAATGCGATGGAATTTGGCACTTACGACCGAATTGAGCCTAGAAGCTAGTATACCAAATTTGGTGAAGATTGGTTCAGATATAGCTATAGCTCCCATATATATTATTCATCCGATTTGTTATTTTAGTCCTCCGCAGCCGTAATGTGCACTCTGTAATAACAATATTTGGGGACATATATCAAATACAGCTCAGAAATACATTTGCTAAATTTTATCGAGATCGGTTCAGATTTGGATATAACTCCCGTATATATAACTTCGACCGATTTACCTTTTATTGTGCACCAAACGTCTAATATTTGTCCAAATATTTGTCGAATTGATTCTAGAAGCTAGTATGTCAAATTTGGATGAGTGGCAAAATATGACAGCAGTCTGACGTTTGTTGCAGTTTTTTCATCTCACCACGTATGTCATATGGCTGAGGGTATAAAAATGTCTATTTATTTGAAATTTGTTTTAAATATTTGGAAGTCATTCAATTTTTTTAAAAAAATCTTTAAACGAGGATTTTTTAAAAAATGTTTTATTTTCCCCCTCAATGGCTTAATCATTGTCATTTGTATAATGAGCACCCATACAAAGGTAATACTCACTGCATTGATTGATTTCGTCATAATTAAACGGTGCTAGTTTGTTACTCTAACAAAATCTCACTCTCTTTCTCTCTCTCTCTCTCCTTCTCTCTCTGCTGCATATCAACACAGATTTTGTTTGTTTTTTTTTTCAATTGATTCTGTGGGGAACTCTAAGAAATCTATTAATTAACAGGCTTTTAGATAATAATTTATTCTAAACAACAACAAAAAAACAATTCATTTTTATTTCAAATCATCGAATTCCGTTGACAGTTTTTTTAATACCAGGCTGCATCATTAGGCGCCTTTCGCTGAATAAACAAAAAAAAATAATAATAATTTCCAATGACAAAGTTTTTCTTTTGTTCCGTTACTTTTTGTTGTTGTTTCTTTTTATATTTTTTAATTTCCCAAACGAACCGGTTTAATTATCTTCTGCTGGATGGCTGTCTGGTTGGCTGCCTGGTTGGAATGACTTGTGGTGTTGTTGCCATTTGAAGCTACTGGTTTTGTTTTGTTTTTGTTTTATTTTTGTTTGCCTTTTTGAATCTGAAGATTTCAATTTCATAATAGATGCGGTTTGCAATTTATTTATATTTTTATTTTTAAATCTTCAACGCAAGTCTGGCTTGTCGGCA